CGTTACGATGCAGATATTACTGAATTAGAAAGAAATTCCTATTTTAACATGATTCATCCTTTAGACATCCTACTTATTCAAAACAAGGACACGAAGACATGTGACTGTGAAACAAATTACTCCCTGCAGAATTTAAATTGCTTTCTTATATTAGTAATAATACAAAATTAGTGCAAAGTAAGTAAGCTTTTGGTTTCATAAATGAAACCAAAAGCTCTTAAATCCCGTTAATTAAAACAGACATTTATTCTCGTTAACAATTTTCCACCCGCGTGGCAGGACATCCCAGAATTCTGTTAACTCCATGTAAAACCATCACCGAAGTCAACAAAATTAGCAAATGTCAGCTAATATTTTATCAATCCCACATTCCTTACGCACTGTGGCTTGGTTAAACGTATAGTAACACACTTTCAGAATTTTGATGTACTAGTATATTAGATAGTAGTAAAATGTCTAATATCGAAACATATCGTGGGAATACCTAAATTAATATTCCCTATAAGCTGAATAGAGTTAAATCGATCATTTTAATTCGAACAATTCAATTTAAATATTTACATGGGTTTTACTAAATTAATCAGCGGCCTGAGATTCTAACGGTACTTGAATATAATTACTTGAATGCATCGGTACTGAACCACGTGTCACCAAAATTGAATATAATCTCAATCCGATCATCTACTTAAATCATTGGTTTCAGTTTCTGTATCCTTTTTTGCATTGAATTTTCTGTATTTTCTCTGAACCATCGAGACCTTGTAGCAAACTAAGCCCTGTGGATGGTGACATGTAAACATCTGAGAGTTAGGCAATATGGTCTAACGCACGAGGAGACGAGCAGAAAATGTCAAATTCGAATATTTGTATTATGAATAAATTACAACCAAATTCCTATACTAATCTGATTCATCCCTCAAGATGTCTAATTCGTCCAAACAAATGTGGGGAGATCGGGGTAGTGAAACAGTCAAGTTTAGGTAACAAGATGCCTGTTTTGTGGGTTGTAACGCCATGCAGTCTGGTAGAAATTTACCTTAGTTTCAGAAGTCCTTGCTGCGTCCATTACCCAGATGATGGAGGCAGCAAGGACCTCTATAATCTGTAACAGACGTCTCCCAGACTACACGGTGCTACAATCCACAAAACAGTTATCTTCAAATTCTACAAATTTAAGAGGGTCTCACCACCTCGTACGACACAAAAATTTTCAATTTCATAACTACACAGCTCAATGAAGAAGCCGACCATTAAATTAGTGTAAATAATCGCATAAACACATCTACATCGGACGTCAGTAATATTAAAACATCGACTGAATTTTTAAGAAAAAACATTTCCAGACATTCCCAATAAATCCTACTAGGATACTAACATTTCTACGCGCATAATATATCCTATAATTTCATGTAAGAAATAATCTCTCTTAAGTACGTAAATATTTACTATAATTAACATTAATTTCGTACTATCTTGGTATTTACAATTGTAGGCGTAAGCATATTTGTATTAATTATAACCGATTGATTTGTGTAAAATGAATTAAATAAATCCCTGTGTAATTAATAGGAAATTAATTTAAAATAAGCTACGTTACAAAATTTTTATATTAAACTTCTCTGATGTAATACCTACTTGTAGGTATGTCTAATTCGTTTTCAAAACTATAATGCACATTAGTTTAATTTAATTCACAAATTAATTTTGTAGACATACGAATATGACATTACGACACTGAAATATTGTTTCATGAGTTTTATAAAAAAAATATATGTAGGCTTGTTTATCACTTCAGCGTTTATAAACAAAAACAGTGAAGCTAGATTTTCTGTTTCATTTACAATAGCCTAATATATGAGAATTGAATTATCTCACATATATTTTATCCAGCATAAATTTTACTGTAATTATGATTGATAATAATATTTATAATTTTATCCAATTAAGCAGAATAAACCGATCAAACAATTAGAAACAGCAACTGTATAGCCCTCAAGAGTTTACTATCCGTTGGCATTACGTCCAGATAACTTCCATCTACGCAAAATTGCGGGAAAAACTGTATTCATCAATTGAATTAAGAAACAAATAACTCGATTATTTCCTATATTAACCAAAATATGATTTGCAGCTGTTAAATTACGAATAACAATGACTCAGGAGTAAGCATATTGTTAACCAAAGACAATTTTTGACTTGGAAATATTCAATTATAACTAGAAATATTTCTTATTCTTTTCCCCCTTCAATATTAATTCAGTTGGAGATTCGGAAGATGAATTGGTCTTTGGATGTATTCGTAGGGCTCCGCCTAGGCTTAGTTAATTTAACCTAGGTAACTCGATGCCCCGTCTACCTGCATACTTTCCACAAGTTGTCTAAAATTTAGCTGATAACGTTTCATGATGTCATGTCTGTTTCCAGCTTTTTCAATTTGAAATCTGTCTCTTAAAGTTACTGTCAGCATTCGAAAGGAAAAGAAATATTTTTCCTACAGTTTTCATTCGTCCTTTGCCATAAACTTTTCTATTTGTGCAGTTCCAACATTTTTTAGATCAGATATTTGCCGTAAGGTTACACCAAGTCAGAATTTCAGTTAAACCATCAAATGTACCGAACGATGATTCTATAATCAGAAACAGATTTAATGAATTTTATCAAATCTACGCCACGTGTTAAGTTGGAAGAAACGAACGGTAGATTTTTATGACAGAAATATTAGTTTTTAGGTCTTAAAAACTTACAGATTTTTGTGACAAATCTTTTTCGTTTTAACATTTCACATTTTACAATAAAACTTGTTCGCTTCCTGTCTCAAATGTTTCGAGTTTTGTACCAGACTCGTTTGAATCAGGTAGAGTTAAAAATGAGTTAATTATGGACTAATATTTGAAACAACTATAGGCCTATAGAACAGATCTTTGACAAGCCATAACCAAGATCTTTTTCAAGGTGAAATTATTTCAACTTAATACGTTTTCGACTAAATTGCTACGTTCAAAACATTTGCGAAATTTTATCACTCACTTCTGGGGCTGTCTCGAACACATAACAGAACTGAGGTACAAAATCCACAGACTTACGACACCAATTTCTATCCGACGACCATCTCATGTCAATCACGGATGAAGGCCCTTCTGTCTGAAGAAATAAGTATATAAGGCTGACACCCATTTACATTACTTTAATTACCAACTTGTTTATCCTTTGTTACAAATGCTATTAGTGATTATCATGCAGTCAGACAGAATTCAAATTAGAGACAAAACTGAAATCTAACCAATAAATTCAACGGGTTAGCCAGTCATGGTAGACCTTGATTGCTCTAATATTGTCTTGGATTCGAATCCCAATCGAAGGCCTTCCTGATTAGATAGAGGCCTTGCATCGAAATGGTCTCCCGTCCAATATCTTAAGAGATTCATAAACGTCACGTGTACGAACAGTTAAGGTTTCTCAACAGAAATCCGTGGCAAAGTGTTGCAAATTTTAGAACCACTGACCGGATACAGAAATTGCAGATCTAAGTTATTTTCTATCTGTCGTAAGAATGTCTGTCCTAATTTGATGTGAAATGAATACACAAATTGGCATAAGGAAAAATTGATTTTCTACTAACATCTCAATAGTGTTGACTAAAATATGCGGAACTATACATAATTAACGCTGTTGATTGTCCAATCTGAAGACAATTGCTGTCGGCTTATTCTAACCTACAAAGACAGATCTTCAACATTATCAGCTGTACGATAAAATGACTTTAGTACGCGGTGTCATAATGGTATTGATTCTTCTTGTTAAAAACAGCAGGCATGTGACTTAGCGATCTCACTACACTGATTAAAATACCTGAATAAGCGTACAGCCTTCAGTATTCTGAGTCGTCTAAGATTTCCTCTGAATTTTTAACAAAAGACGGCCGAAGATTACAAGACTTTATTTTTAAAATCCTTGAAATTCTTTGAACTCATAGAAAGCGAAGAGGGTGACCTATCAGACGACGATGTTGTGAAGGCACGTAGAGAAATCAGATTCTCTGCTCAGAGACTATCACTCCTTTTGAAGTTAAAAACTCTTGTCTGTGGATAAAAGCGATTTCGTTATGGTTTGTCAGGAAACAAAAATGTTAAGTTGTGTGAGATATTAGCCAATACATTAAATCACTTTGAAGACAGTCGATTCGAAAGTGATTTCTGTTAAAGAAATTCGAAAAATGTTCCAGATACGAAATTAAAGGCTTCTTTTACGCAAAACGCAAAATGTCGAAGGCAAAGAATTCTTGCGTCACTGTTCAATGACGTCTTTAAGCTCGGAAGGGGAACGACATTACTCAACCGTCACCACTCGTTGCAACACTAGTTCTTGTATCAACTACACATGCTTGTCGAATAAGGGCGCTTTGTTCTTACCGTCTTTGGGTGGAGATGGACACTGAGGAGCGTACGATCCGAGGTGGTAGCCGGTGTAAGTGTTCTGGTGCATCGGCGGGAACGGGTAGGCTCCTAGCGCGGTTCGTGGACTGCCGAAACCAGCGGGGTCCACGGCCGAATGGTGATGGCTGGGGGGTCCTCCCCCGGGTTGGGGCCCACCTTGATTGAAGTGGT